CTTGGACATTTCCTTCCTTTAGAGTCTTAAGCATAGCAAAACAACAACTAAGAAGGAGCATTGCTGAGTAGGGATGTTGGAAAAAAAGTTTATAATTTGGCATATTGAATGCACCGAAATTAAAAACTGCTTGGAGTAGAACAAACTCAAAACCTGCGTTGAAACACAATTTTTTGCAAGCTTGTGCCTCAGTTAAATGGACTGCATACGAAGTCGACAACTAGCATAGCATAGACTTAGGAAACCTTAAACGTTAGAGATTATTGTTTACAGGTGGTTATCATTTGGCTTTGAATATTTCGTGAAAAAAAAGCACTGACCCTTGAATTAATGGATTTACCATGCATTCCCAATCTCTCGAGCTTAGCATACATAGCTTGAGGATTTAGAAAAATAAGCCTAAGTATCGAATGCACCTCATACCATGTTGTTAGAAGTTCCCAGGCGAATTTATCCTGTCTCTCTCAAGATAGCAGATGCTCAATGCAGTGATTACCTAGAAGTAGAAAACAGATGATGCGTTCTTCTTTTTACATATTTTAATCGCTTGACGAAAGAAAAGAGAAACTCTGATGATGATGATGGGCACATCGGACCTCTTGATGTCAATTAAGATTGCGTAGAAATGATTGTGCACATACGTTTAGCATATGTTTAGAGGAGGGAAGGAAAGGGCGTGGGAGGGGATTTTGCTTGATGGCATAAACGTAAGGTACTAGCAAGTAATTTGTTTTCGTTAGATAAAAGTGTCATGATAGCGATGACTGCTTAGTACTAGAGATTTGTCCAAAAGTACTTTTGCCTTTCTCAACTCCCCAGCTATAGCATACGTGATTGAGTAGGAATATGTCAAGCGGCACGATTCACAGGTTGTCATCAAGGGCAGATTTGCCCTGGGCTGTATTTAACTGGAATTTTCTCATTGTAAATGTTTTGCTCCTAGTAAAGAATGTAAGACTTCCTCTTCTGAGAATGAGGCAGAACTAACTGCTAGTCGACATTCTTTCTCTAACGTCTGAAGCTCAGAAGCTCATAAAAATTGGGTACTGTAGCATGTCGGACAGTAAATTTAGACGTATACTTCAAGGTTTCAAATCACAAGCAAAACCTAAACCTTTACTGGACTGTATTTTATGCTGGAGTGATATGAATTGCATTATGACAATTTGTTTAACTGAATGTCAGCCTTATAATAAGCACCTGGTTACTAGAATTAGTTCGGAAAAAATACAGTACTCCAACGTGAAAAAGCAGCGAGGAGCGTAACGAAGTCAAATTGTTAAATGTTTATGTCGCAGTGTTTGATGTTACGGAGTGCTTAGACTACATCGATGGAGCTGCTTGATGTGAGAAAAGAAAAACACTTGTGCACATACTATGGAAACCGAAAAATCAAATAAATTGCCTGAACAGTGTTTGCTTTGCAGCCATGGATGAATTAAGGAGTAGTTCGTCATGAATTTCTGCTAGAACATGATTTCCGAGCTAAGCGAGCAATAAGCTTGTATTTGGCCTCATGACTTGAGTTATTATTATTATATTAGTTATTATTATATTATTGTTATTAGTTATTATTATTATATTATTCATAGTCAAATCTCGTCTGAGCAGCATAGCCACTTATGACAATTGCAGATTTCTAATCAACCCTGACTACATATATTTCTGTTAATTAGAAAAAGCTTGTGCTGATGTTGAGAATGCTCAACTCATGAATGTGCTGGATCTTATACTGTCCAATTTTTCATGCGCTTAAATTGTAAATGTATGCTATCACTAGCTGCTAGCTGAGCAGTATACCACCTCTTATAACATCCAGAAATGCTCCTGCAGACACGTTTTCTACTACTTCGAGGTGTATAGCTCGTGTTGCGAGGGAAGTATGCAGACGAAAGTACATTTCTTGTTCTGATTTCGATATAAATGGTCCCATGTAATCGAATCCAGTGTTTTCGATGGCTCCGATATCACATCTCGATCCGTTGGAAGTGAGGGCATAGTAGGAGCTCCAAGCGGAAGCCCTTGGTATTCTGCATGTTGTACAATGTTTTAAATACTTTTCGAAGGCATCATTTATACGTGATATCCAATACCTCTGGCGAACTAGTGAAATTCTGTAGGTATGTGCAGGTTGCGATCGCGACTATGCTAGCATCCGCAAATGCCCACAGGCACATTTTTGCACCTTTCGTGATGTGAAAACAATGTCGAGGGACAGAAATGGTCGCATAGGTCACTTCACAGTTTGTTCCATTTTCTGCAAGTCGATGCGTCTAATGTGGTTTTTGAAACCACACCGCTATCGAAAACTTCTCTCACCATGAATTTTAGTTTGACTAGCAGCAGTCCTGCTATACCGATGGGGTCATACCGAGTTTATTTGGCTCACAATGTCTTTTTTGTTGCTTTTACCATCTTTGTAAAATTAGTAATGGTTCTGAACGTTTTAGTGTCAATATCGTAGTTTACACCTAATTTCTCATGTATTTATGTTCTAAACTGTCACACTCTGGTATTAGAGCGTTTGTTTTATTGACGCGTATTCTCTTAGATTTATGCCAATTTTTGCAGATAATTCCTTATAATCATAACATTTTCGCAAAGCTTCTTGAAAAGTGTCTTCATCAAGATATTGTCTACAAACAAATTTTTGCAATTTCAGCAGCTATTTCCGTATTTCGATTGTTTAAAATGATGTTAAGCACATATTTAAAATACTTGGAAATGCTGTTACTCAGAAAGTTAGTCTTTTAAACCTGTAGTACATGAAATTTTCTTTTGTAAGTAGAAAATGTACGTTTTTTAACCATTAAAATCTGCATAAATCCATATTTAAGTCGACTAAATGAATTTGCGTGAATTTAGCTTGAATGTTGCACACCAAAATATTTCTTTTTCACAACGACAACTCAACAAAACATCATGGATTTTATTGGCGAACATTCCGGCTTTGTGAACTACGTCATTTATAAATGGTTTGCCTCAACGATGCGAATCAAAAACTATTCTCAATGTTCTTTTGATTTGCTTTCCATATGCCTGAGTGAGGCAAATAGTAGGTATCAGCTGCATTTGAGCTATAGAGAATGGTGCGATTATACTCGTTATTGAGATTTTTGCAATAGCATTGGCATTGTTTGCTTTCACCTGAAGTGTTTTTGAAGTAATTTTAGAAGGCAAATTGCCACTATGTAATTGTCTTCGTTGTAGTGTGTTTTCTTTTGAGGGGAAGGGTGCAATTTTGCGACCATTTTTGT